CCACCCCGAGGCAGTATAGTGACTCACGTGCGATTGAGTTTAGTTCAGTCAAGGTCTTTTGTTGACCTATTTAATGGACAAAGTCATCCATGATATAACAACTCGTTGTACTATCTTTATTATTATGCTTGTATGAAATACATATGCTTGAACATTGTTTAGCGCCTACGCATGTATTCATTCTGCTAGCTACATTATTAACTGCTTAATATATTCGCTGACTCATCCATTTTCCTATACATATATATATATATATATATATATATATATATATATATATATATATATATATATATATATATATATTGAAGATTATACGATAACGGTTCGAGGGTGATTAATTAACGAAGCACAGCCACTACAGCAGCATAGAATGATATCCGAAAAGCTGTAGAAACAGCAGTGATATCTGCTAGTACGGTAACCCGTAAGGTTAGGGAACGACACTGGATCTCAGCAGCATCTATCGCACTGATAGATGCTCGGAAACTCATTCCACCTGGCTCTGAACATAATGAAGAGCGGAGTCAGCTTAAGCGCAAGCTGACAAGAAGTCTACGCAATGATCGTGAACAGTGGTGGGTAGCGAAAGCAAGAGAAATGGAAAATGCAGCGGCAATAGGTAATAGCAGACAATTGTTCAGACTTGTTAAGGAAACCGGTATTAGGAAACCAACTGTTAGCGAAACACTCTTAGAGAAAGATGGACATATTATACACTCTCAATCCAGGAGATTGGATCGATGGGCAGAACACTTCAGGGATCAGTTCAACTGGCCTTCAGCCACGCTTCGATTTCCCATGATCTCTAGTCAACCTGAGTGGCAAGTTAATGTAGGTCACAGTCTCTTTACGAAGTTGAAAAAGCCATAGGAAATCTGAAGCGAGGGAGAGCAGCAGGCCCTGACAGGTTTACTCCTGAGATATTTAAGGATGGTGGTCCAGTATTAGCAATGAGATTAACCGAGGTCTTAGGTAGAGTTTGGGAACTGGACGTAATCCCATCTGACTGGTCTCAATCACTGATTGCGCCAGTTTTTAAAAAAGGACAAAAGTCCTCTTGTGACAATCACAGAGGAATCAGTTTGACTAATATAGTGTCTAAAATATTAGCTTCAATAATACTTCGACGCCTAATCAAAGCTCGTGAAGAGCAAACTAGAGAAAACCAGGCCGTTTTTCGACCTGGACGTGGTTGTATAGATCAGATATTCACACTACGTCAGGTTCTAGAACACAGACACACATTCAGACGACCCACAATGGTAGTATTTCTCCACCTTAAGGCGGCATTCGACTCTGTTGATCGTGAGGTTCTATGCCAGTATTTGTCACTGAAAGGAGTACCAAAGAAGTATATTAACCTTATAAAGGCTCTCTACTCGAACAACTGGTAGAGTGAGAGCGTATGGCAAACTGTCATCAGAATTGATTACATCAAATGGTGTTCGTCAGGGCTGTCCACTCTATCCTTTCTTGTTTAACTTTGTCGTTGACGTGCTTTTAGAGATGACACTTTCCTCATCTAAATTTCCGGGGGTTGAACTTCTACCGGGAGGTTCACTTGTTCACTTAGAATATGCCGATGACATAGTTTTATTTGGTGAAGACGCTGACAAAATGCAGTCTTCTGACCACTCTAAGCAACAATGCAAGCATGTCGGGATGCGATTCTCTCCCTCGAAATGCAAAATGTTGCTTCAGGATTGGGTTACATCGACACCCGAACTAGTGATAGGGAGTGAAGTAGTTGAGTGTGTCGACCGCTTCACTTATCTTGGAAGTCTCATCAGCCCTTGTGGTCTGGTGTGTGACGAAATCTCAGCACGGATACAGAAGGCTCGACTAGCTTTTGCCAACTTGCGTCATTTATGGCGTAGGCGAGATATCCGTCTACCAACCAAAGGACGTGTTTACTGCGCAGCAGTTCGTTCCGTCCTACTTTATGGTAGTGAAACATGGCCGGTAAGAGTAGAGGATATTCGTAGGTTACTAGTATTTGATCATAGGTGTCTTCGAAGTATTGCTCGTATATCATGGGACCACCGAGTAAGTAACGCAGCTGTTAGGAAACGGGTACTAGGTAAGGATGGCAAATCAATTGATGAAGTAGTGAAACTTCATCAGTTGAGATGGCTGGGACACGTGTTACGTATGCCCAACCACCGACTACCTCGACGTGCTATATTCAGTGGTATAGGAGTAGGTTGGAAGAAAGCTAGGGGCGGCCAGACCAAAACATGGCACAAATCCATGAAGTCACTGACAAGTGGTCTGAGTCATGTTGGTAGGTGTAGACTACCTGGTTGGGGACCGCGAGATGATAGCAACCGATGGTTATAGACCCTGAATGACATGGCTCAAAATCGATTGCAATGGCGCAGGTGCATCCACTCTCTATGTTCTCCCAAATTCTAATTATCTGAATTCTTCATGCCCCTTTTTTTCCTCTTTCCAAATTTATTTCACTGGATTATACTCGTTAAATAACATCTCCAAACCCTAATCCTCCCGATTACTGCTTATACTCTTGCTACCTCTACTACTACGGGATTTGAATCGACCACTGCATCTCTGTGCTAATGTGGTATGGCAACTCGAACTGATGTACGTACGTACGAAGTTCTACGTTGTTACAGACTGACTGACTGACGCCCTAAGCTCTCACTCGACCTGTTGTGTTCGAGTAGAGGCTTTGGTACTCCTTTCAGTGACAAACACTGCCATAGTACCTCACGATCAACAGAATCAAATGCCGCCTTTAGGTCGAGAAATACTACTATTGTGAGGCGTCTGAATGTGTGTCTGTCCTAGGACCTGACGTAGTGTGAATATCTGGTCTATACGTTCACGTCCAGATCGGAAACCAGCGTTGAACCTAGCTCCATTTGTTACTTAGTTGCAACAGAAGCTGCAACCAATTTGCTGACATCAATGCGATTACGATGATGAATTTGTTGGTCACTGAAACGTAAGGTAAGATTAGCACAAACAAGAGCATGATCAGAATCTAGATAGACACTCCAAAAGGAGCAGCAGTCTTGTACATAAACACAGCGGAGGTAACTGATCTCAATGTGACCAGTCTGAGTATAGGCTTGAGATATTGAGGAAGGACGTCAGGTGGCACATCGGCGATGATTGTGCCGGTAGTTAGCACTAGCCAGAAGCAGGTTGTGGTATGCGCATAGTTGCAGTAGACGGTCCCCGTTTTCTGATCTGCGACCAACAAGTCCCTACTGGACACCTAAACGTCTCTCTTGTGTGACTAAACGCCCAACCTGAGTATTTAAATCTCCGGCTATTACTACAATATCTATCGAACACACTTTCTGTATAAGACCTGTTAACTGTTGCTAAATCTCATTCTTGGTAGCATCTGGCCTGCAATCTGTCGGAGCATAGGCGGAGATGACGAAAAGACGCCTTTTCTCACATCGATTTTCTTGCACTTTGATGGAATTTTCTAATTTAACAACATGTAACCGACTGTTAATTGGGATCCAATCGATTGGTGCTGCCTCAGCTCTAGCGTTTGGTGCGACATCAAGGCCAGCACAACCAGACGAAGATGCCATAGGGTCTCCGGATGAACGTACGTGAAACAAGGTTTTCGAAGCGACAGATGGAAAGCAAATTTGTAGTACTTTACTAGATTCTCTAATATGGGTCACGGACAGACAACAGACATCGAGATTAAAACTTTCTAAAGACATATCTGTTGTTTAATCTGCATTAGAGTGCGAACGTTGGACGCCAGTTCGAATGGTAAACATGGGTTCAGGAAGACTTTCAGTAATTGTAATCGGCGGTAGCATTCAAATTCCGACCACTCAGTGACTCGATATACTTTAGGTAGCACGGGGTGTTCACCACAGGCAAGCTGCTGTATGTTGGAAAATAAGCAAAATGAGAATATAGGGGAATGAATAAGTGACGTAGTATAAAAGAAATGAAAACAAATGATTGTGAGTGCCATTTCTCTGAATGCGAGTTGAAGTAAGAATAATTTTTCCAGTAGTAATCACCACTCCTATATAAAGAGTGATGTTTAGTACGTCGACCACTCCAATTCTCTTAGAAATCTTATGAGTCCTGGTGACCCGGTGTCTGATGAAATTTTCGCACGAATTCAGAAAGTTTGCTTGGCTTAGTTAGACTAAGAACCTTGCGTAGACGAGATGTCTGTCTACCATACAAAAGGAGAATATACTGCATAGTAGTTTGTTCCGTATTAGTCTACGGCTGTGAGATACAGACTACGAAAGTAGAAGACATGCGCAGGCTGAAAGTTTCTGATCGTAAGTTTCTTCGGAGAGTTACTGAAGTATTTTAGGACGATATAGTAAATAATGCTGATGTTGTACTAAACACAGATGGCAAATCAGTTGATGAGGTTGTAGATTTTTAAACTAAGATGGGACTTACATGTGTCGCGCAGACCCGACCACAGCCTATTTGATGTGTAATCCTGACCGGTAAAGCAGGCAGATGGAAGATAGCTGAAGATGATCAAACCAAAACGTCATATCAGTCCATAAAGTCATTTGCATTCGGTGTATGCCGTATTGTCCGATCATACAGACGCAGATGCATCGATTTCTCGTCTTCCCCTAGATTCTAAGCTTAAGCATTCCTCCATGGATAGTTTTTTTTCAAACCATATTCAAATGGTTTAATCATTTCTACTGTAATTGATGTTATCATTGGCACAACCATCTTGCTATTAATTTTGTCAATCCCGTCTTATCGTATTGAAATTACATAGCAAATTGGGATCACATACGCTTGTTTCAGTCTCTACGTTGATTGACTAGCTGACTTAATGAAGTGAAATATGTCCTAGATGATTTTAGTTAGTAATAAAATGTTGCACTGTGTACTCGACTTCCGCAACTTAACCAAGAACATTCTCATCGAAATAAAATGGCGATATTACAAAGCATGAAAATGTCATACCTTTTGCCAATTAATTTGAGAAAAAGGAAAGCTAAACAGACCTCAGTTAATTTTTCGATTTCATGTTCTAAACCAACTGCGCGATCTTCCTCGAATCTAGCAGCCCGATCAAACCTCCTAATTTCATCTTCAGCGGACCGCATTATCAGGGCGAAATTGTGTCGCAGAGAGGGACAATCAAAGAAATTCCCTTCCAACCTTTTTTCGATTCGTTTACCATCAACATCTGGATTTTCTTCATCTGAGAGAGTAGAATTATCTCCCGGTTTTCGGCGCCTTTGCACAACACGAGATAAAGCAGCTTCATAACCAGAGTACACCTTTTGCTCTTTACTTGTCATATCGATAACCTTTACTTTGGACAATTCACTAAACAAACAAAACATAATAAATGGGTAAAAAAAATTAATGCAGTCAACTAGAGATGTCCGAGTTATATTACCATGAATGAAATATCACTATTTTATCAAGTTAAAACAGTCTTATCAACTGTCTGACGATATCATTACATAGTGTAGGTTCATGTAATTGGTTTTAAGCCATAACTCAGTGTAAATGTTGGTGGTACCACCAACCTGTTCAAAATGAAGTAGATTAATGGACTGCTATGCTGCAGCCCAGCTGTCAAAGGCTAACTTCAATCACTAGGACATCAATTCTCTAACTTAGAAAAAATTGGACAGGAAAAATCCTAACATTCTAAACCATCAATAGAATAAACTCATTATTCGAAACCTTTGATCGGTAACATATATTTTGACGATAAAGGTAGAAATCAACTTCACATTGTTAACCTGAAAAGAGAATCATATACTTGAGCTGATTGGCTATAGCAAAAAATAATTGTAAATGAGCAAATATGCATTAATTATTAAGATATTTTGAGCTAACCGAATGCCCGAAACAAAATAGGTGGAACAGGGTTCTAACTCGTTACTTGGCTGTGGAAAGTCAAGGGCCTTAACCATTGGATAAGCTTTCTTCCTTACTTTCAGTCTAACAGTTTGTTGTAAAAAAGACTTACAAGTGCTTTAATCTATAGTTACGCCTAATATATATATATATATATATATATATATATATATATATATATATATATATATATATATATATATATATATATATATATATATAACCGCCTGTAGCTCTTCTAGGGTTACTGCCGGTGCCAGTCGTGTGCTGTTACGGGTATGAGGGCTGATGTCACTTCCCGGCTGCCCACACCGAAGGGTATTTCTTGAGGAATCTGAAAATGAAATTGGATTAGTGTTGGTCTTGACGACCTGGGAGCATGACCGCAGAGCCCAAGGGACAACTGCTTGAGGCCGGTCGCGCACGGCCCTTTTGTGGAAGGTTTTTAATGAGTTAGCTCCGTTCTTCAAAGGGCCTTACCGCCAGAGACGGAAATGCGTGAGGTAAGGTGAGGTGTGACAAAAAAGATTAACATTGGGAGAGATGTTGTTGTACCCTGATCATGAAAAAAATGCTTCGCACGTGCAAGGAGTTGCACTGATGCTGTCCAAAGAAGCATGTAAAGCACTAATAAGATGGGAATCTCATGGATCTAAAATCATCAAAGCATCCTTCAGAGCAAAGGGGGGATCACGATGAATGTTATCCAATGTTATGCACCCACCAATGATAGCAAAGAAGACGATAAAGGCCAGTTTTACGAAACGCTGCGATCGATCGTAGAGAAGTGAACAGGAAAGGACCTGACCATTCTAATCAGAAACCTAGACGCCAAATTTGGAATGGACAACACTGGGTATGAAGATATATGGAACGACATGGAGTGACTGAGAAAAAGGAACAAGAATGGTGATAGATTTTCAAACTCATACACATCAACAAATACAGGTGAAGACAGCCGGTGTGTAGACAGCATCTGTAGCAGTAGGTCTCAACATACACAAGGGACAAACCAAGATCTTCAAATACAACACAGAGAACACCACATAAAGTGTGATCGATAAACGAACCCACTAATACTGAAGTGAAACTCTCACCATCACATTAACTTTCTTTCACCACGAATGACTGTGTCTTGTTTATTTACCAATCACAATTTTACGTTCATTATAAAACAATATTCGCCTTGTTAACTCATTTTTCCCATCCTCTAGTTAATGTTCAGTACGTCATTTATGTCTCTCATTTCATCTATTTAGTAGACTGTGTTGTTTATTTTGTATACTAACGGTGCTAATTTCTGTTTTAGAAATAGATAAAGTTTATCAAGCTAAATAGCTTACTTGTTCTGACTTTGGCTAAACCAAGACTCTGCGCTCGACAGTCTAGAGAATAGCTTAGAAATTGCTTCCTACATACCAACTCAATTAAACTTGGTGGGGAAGCCCTGGAAGAGGTGGAAACTCTCACGTACATGGGTAACAACATCAATGGACAAAGAGGATCTGATGCAGAGGTAAAGGCAAGGATTGGAGAAGGAAGGGCTGTATCCCTACAGTTGGAGAACATATGGAACTCAAAACATCTGTCTGTAAGCCAACACCATAGCCAGGATCTTCAATATGAACGTCAAGACAGTTCTACTGTACAGAGCTGAAACTTGGAGAACAACCACAACCATTATCAAAATAGTGCAAGTATTTATAAACAATTGTCTACACAAGATACTCAATATCCGTTGACTGGATACCACAAGCAACAGCCTACTGTGGGAGAGAACAACTTCCAGCTGAGGAGGAAATTAGGGAAACACGATTGAAGTGGATAGGATACACATTGCGGAAACCATCAAACTGTATCACGAGGTAAGCGCTAACTCTGAAAGGAAAAGAGGGAGGCCAAGGAAAACATTGCTCCAATAATTGGAAGCAGACATCAAAAGAATGAATAGCAACTGGAAAGGATTGATCAGGATAAAATTCAAAGAATGCTGGTGGGCAGCCTACGCTCCTCTATGACAAGTAACAGGTGTAATATATATATATCCCAAACAGTACCTACCTGTTCTCTAAGAAAATCCCGTGTCGCCTAACAGCGGTAGCAGGGGTTGCAGGACAAAGATTTGCGACTAATTCATCAGTAGTTTTATACTCCTGTATAGGCTTTGATGCTTGACTCCGTTGTAACCCAGGCCTCTTCTTGTAACGTGGCCCAACTATGTGAAATACAGGGAAAAATTAAGTACGCATTAATGTACTTCCAAACCAGTTTTATAGTATAGCAGAGCCTTATTCCTTGATGTCATTTACAGGAAAACCATTTGTTAATCAAATGATATTATGAAAGCCTACGTTGATTCTTTTGTTGTGTGCACAGTGCTTTATACATACGAGAGTGATGACGTCAGGCTGTGTTGAGGTGTGGCAGAAATGAAGTTGAATACCTTCAGACCTGGTTTTTGTCATCAACAACGCCGCCAAAAATCACAATGAATCACTAAAACTTTCGTGAAGTATGTCTAGTAGACATCTGATGAGTAAACGTGATAACTAACACTGGACATGCACAGCCTCCTAATGTCTATTGAGTTAAATAGCGTGAACAGAAATAAGACTGATACCCAAAATCTTAAATTCAGTGGATGTTTGTTGAATTTACAGTATCATCGTAGTTTAACAGCCTATGCTGTACGCAATGTATGATCATTTTTATTTCGTTTTATACCTTTGTATATAATGTAGTGTTTTCTTATCGCAAAGTTAACGCAACTTTGATTGCGAGATCAGTTGTCAAGCATTCTATTTACCGTTTATTAAAAGACTTAACAAACGTAACGAGTCAGCAAACAACCTCCTTAACAGTTATTACTTAACCATATTGCATCGTTCCTCATTCGATTTACTTTACTAATTGGTATTCATGAAAATCAAAAACGCGAAGCAATGTTGGAAACTGAACGTTATTCCCCTTACATTTAGTGAGACGGTTTTAAGATGAATAACGTAGAACAGTCCGAATGTGATTCCAGCTAGTTTAGCATATACAACCATACACTAGTGGTTAGAGATTAGGACAAAAATAAAATAGATAAGGGACAAACTCTAAATTCTTTCACTACAATCCAGTAATCAACCATAGATTATCAGCTACAGAGTCGGGGGTAGTGGTAGCAACCAATTGTTTTGACCAATTAAAAAGAGCTTCGACCGTTCAGCTGAACACTGACATGATAACGAGTATTTTGGTGATGGGATACGCTTCATTATTGTTACCTTCATTTAGCAGTCAGCTGCAGAACACAGAAGAAATACAAAGATGCTCCTCATAAAGCCTACCTAGTTTTTCAGATGATCGAAATAACATGTATTTTGAATGTTATCTGGTCTAATAGTAGCAGAGATAAACATCTAAAACCAAGACTGATACTTTAATGACAAGATCCAGTGCCTAAAACAATTAGCTCACGAAACAATCATCTGAACCATAATTACATAGTCGTCGAAAGAACAGTGGGTGTACAACTGAATATACTAGTAAATTACAATCACAATGAATACACAAAATATTCAATCAAGAAAGTACTTTTCATCAAATAACACGCTAAACTGAGGATAAAAATGAAGGTCACCACGCAGTGACCTCTGACACCTGCCTGTTGTAATATAAACCTAGAGTGGTGGCTTAGTGGTTGTGTTTGGTCTTCAAGTACTAAGTCCTAAGTTTAAAGCCCGTGAGCTTTGGCGACCGGGTAGTATTCTTAGCTATCATGGTGAATAAGCCCATAATCAGTACCTAAGTAGTAAGTTCTAATTTAAAATGCAATACAAACCATTTTATCATGACTATCACAACTACAGTACTTTGTTAACAAACTCGCGTAATTTATAGGGGAAATAGTATGCATAAACAATAACGAGCAAGAACGGGATTAGGAAACACCGCATCCACAGACTATGTATGAATCATTTATACGAATACTCGTCAAGATTAGAACGAATAGTTTGACAGAAATTGGGCACCGAGTATAGAGAAGTCATTATATGTGAAAATTATATTTGAAATATTCTCAGCGATTGAAATTTAACTAATTCCAACGTTTCGTCCAGCTAACTTGTCTGGACTTCTTTAGGGTAGTATAATTCACTATACTTATTTGACGCATATAGTCTCAAATCTAAACAACAGCATACAAATACATTACAAAATAAATGTTTGAGTACTAAGCTTTGAGTCAGATAGTATTTGTAGGTTACTTATAGATCAAAAATAACTTACCAGAGTCTGAATCTTCAACGACAGTCTCATTTCCTCGACGAGGGGCGGGAGCTTTTTCAGATCCATAATACCCTACTGATACTTTCCCCACTCGTTGGACAGCTTGAACTGGAGTAACAATACCCCGACCGTCAGAACCAAGACCCTTGCCCGGTTCGTAACCCATCTGCTCTAAAAGCTTCATTCCAATACCCTTTGTGTGCCTTTCCCAAGCCCCGAAACCAGAGGTCGCAGACTTCGCCGCTGCAGCGGCTGCTGCTACACGTCGACCGGCCCCAACGGATATGCCCGCAGGTCTGTCAGGTTTACGATGAATATCTGAATTTGGTGAGTCAGAGTCTGAATCATGATAAGGACGCAAACTCCTTAGGACAGATTTGTCGTCTTCATCATCCGAAATCTGGTCGACTTCTTCGTTATTTTCTTTCGGACCAGACGAAGCACCGGCACCTGCCTACAATGGAAGAAAATACTTAGGACCTTCGAAAACACATTTTTACATGACAAACGAGACTTGCAAATTAGTTGAATAAATGAACGAAACAAACATGATATAACAAATGCATGTTCTAGACAGCTATTATGCATAAAAATAGTTGGCACATTTTCCGTACGACTGAACTACTTAATCATTTCGACAGTGCAGGTTTACTGTTAAAATATTAGCTAAACAATGGGTATATCTATCCCAGGCATCTTTACTGGAGCCTAATGAGTTCATACAACTTGAAGTAATAAGAAGCAAAAAGGCGATTCATAACTAAGCAGCGACGTAAATATTACAACCTCTCAGATGATCGCAACACCTAAGAATCTATTCACAGCATAGAATTGGGAACACTGAATTGTTAGCTCGTCGATGAATCGCATTATTTGTCACCTAGCCTTCCTTAACATAAATATACCCTACCTTCACTCCACCACTGACAAAGGTGATCGGTGCTGAATAATTGGCACCCTTACGCTTGAAACCAGCTTCACGTCCACCGAAGCCACTTCTTTCAGGCTCTGAATCAGAATCGTCTGAGGCAAAAATCCCGTATATTGTTTGCTTCTTTGATTGGTTGTGGCGTCGTTTTAAAGGATCCATCATGAACGAATATTCCACATCCGACAAACCAAACCTCTCCATCTCTGGTGACGACCCCATAATTCCAATAAATCCGATGACTTCAAAACGCTGCGCCCGCCAGTTCGATAGTACAACATTCAATTTCAGTTCAAATCACTATCACTAGTGATGTAGGTCAAACGGTTAATATCAACAATGTCTGATTCAATCTTGTTCTTAATATACCTATGCAGAACGTGGAGTGAAATCCTAAAGGAAGACATTTCTTCATTTACTTTTCAATGTAGGATTTCACTTCAAAACGGTTAATACGTAGAAAAATCTAGGGATTCTTTTGCAAAATAAAAACCCGATAACTGCATACACATACGCATAAATTGAGTAAATAAACTACTCGGAATTAAATAAAGCATTTTTGATGCGATAAAACCTGTACAGCTCTCTGTTGAAACATATTTAGAGATACAAATTATTGAATACGTCTGACCTTACATCCGTCATATAGTATATTTGCTAGATAAGATGTCACAGGACTTTCATAGCCCTTTTGCGCGCATGGATTCTGGTGTATTCGCACCTCGCTCTGTCAGAAGACATATGAGAGAGATATGAGTGAAGTGGATGGTTAGTAATTCTTAACACTTGTCAAGTGTTTGTAAAATTTTAGATGTCTACCCACAACCATATTGTTAATGACGTCAAAAGATTTAACACACGCTCCGGCCAACACAGTAAAATCTTTTCTCCAAAGTGACGTGGAACAGCAATAAATAATAAATCATGTGAAAGAATTTACATATCGTTTTATTAGATGTCATATAATGCGGAAAACATGTAGCATGTTGTCATCTGATCAGGAAACTTTGTGTATTTCATTGGTTCAGTGGTCAATTAATGCATTCCTGTTAAAAACCTTTGATAGTTATTAATTCCGCAACTGCGAATTCCGAACATTCACATTTTCAATTTTACGTGTCGGGCTGTTCTTCGCAACGTGTACGAAGCTGGGTTGTAGGCCTTAGAAGACGCATAGAATAACTTGCACTTAATTGTTTTCTATTTTTGATGTAGATTCGAATTTTAGGGCCCTTAGAACATTAAGTAGACATCTACAATACGTCATATATCTGTTGTCTTGAGTTATTTAGAGGTCGTTTGTGCTTGTAGGTTCATTCACATGTCACTGATGAAATGTAAAAGCATAATTATTGTAATGTATGAGAATATGGTCTAATAATTTATGAGCCATCTACATAGGAAAAGCATTTACTATTATTCACAAACGGCTTATTGGTATATAGGTTGTTTTGTTTCTGTTTGTAAAGTGAGTTTACTACGACAGTGATCGGCCACTTGTATTGATGCTGAATATCCTCTGGTGTTAAGTGACGTCGGCATACAATATATTGGATAGATATCTTGAAAAAGGCTTGAGGTAGGGTTTCACGAATTAGAGTGCCATATTGCTGATCTATCAGTATAATTTGATATTTGCTTACGAGGCCTTAATTGTAAACAGTGGCAGTATAGCTAGTACTAGTGATATGAATGGGCTGTTTCAAGATACCTTTATCCATTTGCGAATTCTGTGATAAAATCTATCACTTATACTGTAGTACGGAATAATCTTATGTAGCGTAAAACACTGACTGATATCTGCTAGCCTACCATTAAAAACATAAAATCACTAAAAAGCCATTTCATTCTAGTGTGAGACTTCTCAGAAGTGCACACTGACGACATTGCACCCGAAAAATCAAACACACAGTCTTTAGTCTTGAGTGCAAACTCTTAACATCTGCACCACTGACATGAGATCCGAATGTTAAAGTTTTGTTTCAGTCAATCCACGATGATGAGCAGCCTTCACACGCTTGACGCCGACAGATATAGTAACTCTATTCAGGCACTTGTTTCTTTTTGCCCAGTAGGTTGACATCTGGTTCATCTACTTTGTATGTGCACTAATCCTGTCACTCTACAATCACAGCGTGCTAAAAGAACGACTGCAGCTGACAGCTTTCTCGAAGAAAGCATTGAGAGTTGAAACTATAGCAATTATTTCTGCAAACCTGTAAAAGATTTGTACTTACTGTACTGAACCGAAGAATAAATAAGTTATTTGATCAGTATATTTGGCTCAACATTCCACCAGCTTTGGTCGAAATGACCGAAATTCCAGTGATTGATTAAAACTTGGAGCTAACGTACAAAATTTTATTCGGTTAAATCAAATGAAATTCTTCTGTATGGTGCACGCAGTGTTTCTGAGTGACTCGTACTAAATTATATCGAAATGCAAACGCTAAGCTTAATTTAATTCATACCTATTCAAAGAAAACAAATTATATCAAAATTACAAGATACCTCAAACTGTTCGAGTTTAATCTAGAAGAAATAGCGTGCTAAGTAGCAAGAGGAATGGTCAATAAGTAAGTGTTTGGTACCTGAGAATCAGTAAGAGTAGTCTCAAGAAGATGGTATTAATCAATCGTCTCCAATGGTATGCAGCATGCAGTCAAGGGTCAACGGTCATTAACCGGACCACGCGGTGACCCTGAGATTAGTCAAACACATCCTTGTTGTCACTAGCTTGACGACAAGCAACAGAAAAATTAAATGACAAAGGTAAATCTCAAACAAAGTGAAATAATAAAAGCCGGAACAGAGGAGATAGAAGAACGTCAAATGTGGTTACAAAATACAAGACAGTACTAAGGAACAAAGAAATGACAATATTGCTCAAACAAACACTTTAAAGGAATTTCCAATGCATTCTTTCTGTCAAATTTCTACAATTCTAAAATCAATAAGAACTTGATTCAAGGTATTACTGTAGTGAACGAGAACACAGGTGGCGACAATCGAATGTATTTAGCACAACAATCACAGACTATCTCAATAAAATCCGAATACCATATAGTAAATCGTCAGCTTGCAAAATATTCATGTATCAAATCAAACCAGACTGTTTGTGTTGCAAACACCAATCCATTGTCTCCCATTCCATTGTTCATAGGTTTTCTTACAAATTCCATTATGTTCTCGCTCTACCTTTCTTGATCTTCGCCATCTTCTACTGCCAGACCTTACGCTCTTTTGACGCACGTTATATACTACTTATACCAATATAAGTAGCACACACCACATTACTAAATGGTTAACCGACACTGGCATCTTTCATTTCTCCGATTTTTGCAGAAAGTTGTTGTTACAGTTTTGTTGTAGCTTCGGCCTACATGTTTCTGTACCTAATTAGGTTACCATTTATATAAGATCCTTGGTTCTTTAATTCGTAGAATCTTTTTGTTATAATATTGAAACCGCGCACAGTTTGTCAGATACTTTCTGTAGCATCAATGATTATGGACTGATGTGTTCTCTTTTGTATAATATCCCAACAAACTTCCATCTTCAAGGTTCATTTCATGGTAACGGTAAATTACTCATCCACTCCTTGACTGGTCTCTTGCGAGCTATACCGGTTATCAAAATGAGCAGACGCAAATGACATAATCATAGTATACACAAATGAACAGCATTATATGTATCACTCAGAGAATTTATGGTAGATTACCAATGTAGATTGTATAAACGGCTAAAAAATTGTGAGTAGAAACTAAAGAAATTGCATTTGCTGAAACGTAGGAAGTAGACTGAGTATATTCTAAGTAAGAAAATAAATGAGTAATTAAACGGGTAACAAAATCGCAACGTGTGTGCCTGAAGTCGAGTACTCTATTAAACAGCGAGGCGAGAATATGAGTAATTAGTGTCCTATTATAGACCCTAGTTGACTATGGTTGATGGTGAGTTATGGTATTGAACTGTAGTTACTAACTGACTTCATACATTGTAACCAGCCTAAGCTCAAAATCCAGCGTTGGTGATAAAATCGGAGTGCGAGGACTTGTTACAACCATTCATATGTAGAAAGACAAATCATAAATATTAATGGGATATGTGCATATGGGAGAAGTATTTATCAGCCTACTCAACCTTTTTAACCGCGATTCATATTAGGAAGCACGGAACACAAGGAGTAGTTAAAATGTGTAATGACACATAGACAATCAGACACATATATGAAAAAAACATGGTAAACACCAGTAAATAACTACACTCATACATGCAATATATGCTTGCAAAAGACACATGAAGATATACGTGAATAAGAGTTAACAGTTCATCCTCCAGATGCATATAAATTAATCGAAATTTCACTGACTCATCTATCATGTGATTTACCTTATAATTTTTCAATGTTCTCCAAATAAGACGGAATTTACGTGGGCGTTAAAAAAGTATTTACAGGACGTCCTCAGCCAAACATCGTCACTAAGCCAACGGAAATCAATGTAAACTGATATTCACCGTTATCCAAAAGTGATCAGCCCCAATTCAGCGGTACGATCGATGTGACTGATAATTTTTCTACGATTCGGTTCTATTTTACAGAATTCACTTAAGGCACGAAATCTACACTATATGATCATCCCTTTGGACACTATATGATGAAGAGATCACGAAACATCAGAACTCGTTCCGATTTGTCTGACTGACTAACAATGATGAGCGAAGTAGCACTAGATTTCATACCGCATCACTCCTCCTTTTGTTGTTAATTGACGACTGAGGCTATTTTCTGGATTATCAAACTGTGATACGCGGATAGCACTAGGGTTTGATGTTCGACACAAGACGCTTATGACATTTTTACTCTTTAAGTGAACATGAACGGAATCATAACTGGACCATCAGAGACGTTCTTCATGTTAATGGCATAAACGTAGAATCTTAGTGTTGAACAGTGGCAATACACAGATTTCATATCATCTGGGTAATTCACTAACACACTTTCTGTTCTAGAAGAGGACACACTCCGTGTGATACACATTGTGTCGCCTGTCATCAGAATTCCGTAGCCAATCAGCATTGTTGCTTTAGCGATCAGTTCCTTAACTGTGGAGAATGCTTTTCGTGCGGTGTCGTGCAAATTAATGGATTTCGCATTTCCACGAAGTTGGTCGGTAAGAGGTTTCATAAGTAATGCGCATTTCGGTATGAAGCGTCTATAGAAACTTACCAGGCTGTTAAACGTGCGTATTTGCTTGACGTTCGTTGGTTCTGGGTAATCCAGAATGGCCGCCACTTTGGTCCTAAGAGGTCGAATGCCTTGAGCATCGATTGTGTGTCCTAGGAAGTCTAACGAGTCGGTCCCGATTTGGCATTTCTGAACGTTTACGGTAATGCCATGTTTTTGTGATCGTTTGAAAACAAGATCCAGATGCTTGAGATGTGATTCTCTGTCCGGAGGCAGTCATCAACATACGCATTTACGAAGTCGAGACCTCTAAAAATGTCGTCTATGAATCTTTGGAATGTTTGAGTAGCGTTCCTTAGACCGAAAGACATTCGCAAAAATTCATAGAGTCCGAAGGGAGTGATGATAGCTGTTTTCGGTATGTCGTCAGTAGCCATAGGGATTTGGTTGTACGCTTTAACCAAGTCGATTTTCGAAAAGACAGTTGAATATTTTGAAGGTAGCTATCAAATCGTGAATGTGAGGCAACGGGTAACGATCGGAATGGTTTTTGCATTCAATCGCCGATAGTCACCAGTTGGACGACAATCGTTGCTGTCCTTTTTAGGGACCATGTGCAACGAAGATGCATAAGGGCTGTTTGACGGCCGTATGATTCCTAAGCCTATCATGTGATCGAACTCGTTTTTCGCCAACCTCAGCTTTTCAGGGGCTAGTCGTCGTGCTTTAGAGAACACAGGTGGTCCTGTGGTCGTGATGTGATGTGTAACGTTGCTGGTTGCACACGGTAGTTTCGGGTGAGTTTGTTGTATCCCAGGGTACTTATCGAGTAGTGGTTGATAGAGTGGGTTTATCATATGCTTAACTGTGACTGGGGATAATCTGCAACCAGTAAAAGAAGTTACGCAAACGGATAAATTAGTGTTTCCGTCTACTAGCCTCCGATTGCGCGTATCGATGATTATATTATGGTGTTGTAGAAGATCCATACCAATGATTGGCATAGAAACATCTGCAACAACGAAAATCCAGTGAATGAGTTTGCGTAAACCTACGTTAAGGTAAACGTACCTTTTGCCATACGTAGCAATCGGTTTTCCGTTTACCGCCTGTAAGTTTAGAGTTGATTCGTGAAGCCGGTCGTTATGATTTGCTGGGAGAACGATAACTTCTGCGCCAGTGTCGACGAGGTAGCGAACTCTCGTTGTCACATCTGTGACGTACAACAGACGGCAGGGTTATCTGCAATTTCTGGAAGACTTTCCATACTGGTTATGATACCAGCACCACTCGGGGTTATCCGTCTCTCGTGGTCTAGAGACAGATCGCTTACGTGAAATGCTTCTACGTGGGCTGTGTTAGCGGTTACGGTCGTTACGATGATTAAGATAACGCGTGAGTGTATGACATAACTCGGTTATGTCATTCTGAGTCGTGTGAGGCTTTTCTTTGACTGAAAATACCTCTGTAATAGACGATTTCGTTATTTCTAAAATACGATCGGCAGATGCAGCCAGCTCTTTTAAAGCGTTGTTTTGAAACGAGACTAACACAGTTTGCGCCTGCTGAGGAAGTTTAGACAAGAAACGTTGTTTAAATAGGCCTTCGTTGAAAGTTCTTAGGTCAATCACTTCTCTCATTCGCTGCAACATGTCCGTCGCAGAACCGTGTTGCAGGCCAATGTTATTGAAGAGTTGATCTAACCTTTGTCGATCGGTCATGTCTCCTAGTTAAAAAAATCTAACGTTTTAGGATTTCGTAAGGTTCGGAAACATCACTAGTAAATATACTAGGTGTTACGTACCTGTTGAATTCGCGCGGTAGTGCCTTGACTACTGCGAGGAATTGTGCACGTGCGTCGATCACGCCGTGCTCGGAGAAGTCGGTTTCTGCGTAGCAGAACCAGGCTTCGATATTGTTGGGCCAGATAGGCCTCAGTTAAAACGAAGGCGGGGACAAAGTTTTAAGCTTGAGTACTTTGGGTGTTTGTTCAGTCATGATCAAATATGAAAATGTATATATATATATCCAAGAAAAAACATGAAAAAAATCACAATGTTTAAAAAAATAAAAAATAAGGCAGTTATAAATAAAAATCTTAAAAGGAACAAACTCACAGTTGCAATTAGGTGTACCAGATCACGTCGGGCTCACCAATGAGGATGATACAGGTATTCAGTGTTTGACAGCGCTTCTACCAGTAACACCTTCTAATATAATTTGTTCCCACCGAGAGAAATCAAAAGACAGAGTCGAGGAGATCGGAAGAGTGTATTTGGCGATAACCAATATATCGGAATTCCCTGATCTAATCTGGCTAACGATTGCGATAGGTCTTGAGCACAGCGTTACCACACGTGATCTGGTGCGGATGCATGACAGAGCGCCTTCAGCTAGATGAGTCCACTAAAACATATGGTCAAAATCCAATGTCGAAAACTTACAGAGCTATTTCTTTTGGGGATTTGTTTACCGCTACATATTCAATGATTTGTATCTCTAAATATGTTTCAACAGAGAGCCGTACAGGTTTTATCGCATCAAAAATGCTTTATTTAATTCCGAGTAGTTTATTTACTCAATTTATGCGTATGTGTATGCAGTTATCGGGTTTTTATTTTGCAAAAGAATCCCTAGATTTTTCTACGTATTAACCGTTTTGAAGTGAAATCCTACATTGAAAAGTAAATGAAGAAATGTCTTCCTTTAGGATTTCACTCCACGTTCTGCATAGGTATATTAAGAACAAGATTGAATCAGACATTGTTGATATTAACCGTTTGACCTACATCACTAGTGATAGTGATTTGAACTGAAATTGAATGTTGTACTATCGAACTGGCGGGCGCAGCGTTTTGAAGTCATCGGATTTATTGGAATTATGGGGTCGTCACCAGAGATGGAGAGGTTTGGTTTGTCGGATGTGGAATATTCGTTCATGATGGATCCTTTAAAACGACGCCACAACCAATCAAAGAAGCAAACAATATACGGGATTTTTGCCTCAGACGATTCTGATTCAGAGCCTGAAAGAAGTGGCTTCGGTGGACGTGAAGCTGGTTTCAAGCGTAAGGGTGCCAATTATTCAGCACCGATCACCTTTGTCAGTGGTGGAGTGAAGGTAGGGTATATTTATGTTAAGGAAGGCTAGGTGACAAATAATGCGATTCATCGACGAGCTAACAATTCAGTGTTCCCAATTCTATGCTGTGAATAGATTCTTAGGTGTTGCGATCATCTGAGAGGTTGTAATAGTTACGTCGCTGCTTAGTTATGAATCGCCTTTTTGCTTCTTATTACTTCAAGTTGTATGAACTCATTAGGCTCCAGTAAAGATGCCTGGGATAGATATACCCATTGTTTAGCTAATATTTTAACAGTAAACCTGCACTGTCGAAATGATTAAGTAGTTCAGTCGTACGGAAAATGTGCCAACTATTTTTATGCATAATAGCTGTCTAGAACATGCATTTGTTATATCATGTTTGTTTCGTTCATTTATTCAACTAATTTGCAAGTCTCGTTTGTCATGTAAAAATGTGTTTTCGAAGGTCCTAAGTATTTTCTTCCATTGTAGGCAGGTGCCGGTGCTTCGTCTGGTCCGAAAGAAAATAACGAAGAAGTCGACCAGATTTCGGATGATGAAGACGACAAATCTGTCCTAAGGAGTTTGCGTCCTTATCATGATTCAGACTCTGACTCACCAAATTCAGATATTCATCGTAAACCTGACAGACCTGCGGGCATATCCGTTGGGGCCGGTCGACGTGTAGCAGCAGCCGCTGCAGCGGCGAAGTCTGCGACCTCTGGTTTCGGGGCTTGGGAAAGGCACACAAAGGGTATTGGAATGAAGCTTTTAGAGCAGATGGGTTACGAACCGGGCAAGGGTCTTGGTTCTGACGGTCGGGGTATTGTTACTCCAGTTCAAGCTGTCCAACGAGTGGGGAAAGTATCAGTAGGGTATTATGGATCTGAAAAAGCTCCCGCCCCTCGTCGAGGAAATGAGACTGTCGTTGAAGATTCAGACTCTGGTAAGTTATTTTTGATCTATAAGTAACCTACAAATACTATCTGACTCAAAGCTTAGTACTCAAACATTTATTTTGTAATGTATTTGTATGCTGTTGTTTAGATTTGAGACTATATGCGTCAAATAAGTATAGTGAATTTTACTAATAATAAATATTTAAATCAAAAATTGTCTGTTTAGTAATTATATTATTGCAGGTATATTCTGGATACGATTATTGTTACCATTAGTCAATCAGTAACGACGTAGAACTTCGTACGTACATAGATCAGTTCGAGTTGCCATACCACATCATCACAGAAGTACAATTATCAGTCCAAATCCCATAGTGTTAGAGGTAGTGAAAGTATAAGCAGTAATGGGAAGATATTAGTCAAGGAGTATAATCCAGTGAAATAAATTTGGAAGGAGGGAAAATAAGGGACATGAAAAATTCAGAAGATTAAAATTTGGGAAAACACAAAGGGTGGATGCACCTGCGCTGTTGCAAACGATTTTGAGCTATATCATTCAAGGTCTCTAACCATCGGTTGCTATCGTCTAGCGAAGCCCAACCAGGTGGTCTACACCTACCAACATGACTCAGTTCACTTGTCGGTGACTTCATGGATTTGTGCCATGTTTTGGTCTGGCCAACCCTAACTTTCTTACAATCTACCCCTACACCATAAAAAATCGTACGTCGGAGCAGTCGGTAGTTGGGCATACGTAACACGTGTCCCAGCCATCTCAACTGATAAAGTTTCACTACGTCATCAATTGATTTGCCATCCTTACCTAGTGCCCGTTTCCTAACAACTGCATTACTTACTCCGTGGTCCCAGGATATACGAGCAACATTTCGAAGACACCTATGATCAAATACTAGTAGTCTCGAATATCCTCTACTCTTACTGACCATGTTTCACTGCCATAAACCAGGACGGAACGAACAGCTGCGCAGTAAACACGTCTGGTTGATAGACGGATATCTCGCCCACGCCATAAATGACGCAAGTTAGCAAAAGCTAGTCGAGCCTTCTGTATCCGTGCTGAGATTTCGTCACACACCAGACCACAAGGGCTGATGAGACTTCCAAGATAAGTGAAGTGATCGACACGCTCAGTTACTTCACTCCCTATCATTAGTTTGGGTGTCGATGCAACCCAATCCTGAAGCAACATTTTGCATTTCCAGGGGGGAATCGCATCCCGAACATGTTTGCGTTGCTGCTTATAGCGGTCAGAAGACTGAATTTTGTCAGCGTCTTCACCAAATAAAACTATGTCATCGGCATATTCTAAGTGAACAAGTGAATCTCTCGGTAGAAGTTCAACCCCTGGAAATTAAGATGAGGGATGTGTGTTCTCTAAGTGAAACTGCTATCTTCATGTTAATATCCATTTCAATATCTGTGTTACTCTCAAATTTCTCTCCAGTCTTTTATTAAAACTTGACTGATGCTACCATTCATAATGTGCAACGTTTAGACGTAAAAGAAATTACTGGTGAGGTTTGAAAGATTTTCGCACATTAGAATTATCGACTCACATATCTTTTTGATAATTTGATTAATAATTACATTGCATACCTCCGGTATTCAGGTTTCCGGAGCAAACGTCCGTTAAATCCAAATCGATAACATATTGAATCTCTAAATTCTCCATTTATGAGATACAAAGAAATAAGTTCAAAGTTTGAATAGAACAAATGCATTCAAGACACAATGAAAATATTGTTATTCAGTATTACTTATTATTATCAATTCTTCTTCTGACTTTCATAGCCTGTATTTCCCGAGTGGTTATTGGTATCATGTTGAGAACGTTTAGTTGAAGCCTAAACGCGGGGAATAGTCTCGATTCAAAGACCCTTACATCAAACCAAAATCTCATAATATGCCTCAAAATGAAACCTGCATGGGCATCGCAGAGTAGCGTGTACTAAATGGTCACACGACTTAAGAACCAAAACCTAGTGTCTCATTAAGTACCGAAGGCATCACTCGGACACAGATTCCCAGTTCCATGTATACTGGTTTGAAACAGAATGATAGGAGTAAAAATGTCCTGAAACCGTATGGTCGAAAACGCTGATTTCGGAGAATGATGCAATGAGGATATCTATATTATTTCTTCATCACTAGTTAGAACCAGTGATTTGACATTCGAATCCTATTTTCCTGATTACCGTACCCGTTGCCGCTATCACACATCGGTACACAGGCAATACTAATAGTTTACTTTGAGTTATCCGAGTTCATTGTATTGTATATGCCCTTGGATTGCAGAGTATATACACCAACCCAACCCAAAAAGTCTAAGGCTTTATTAATTCTAAAAGCAATCGTACACATCCTCACATATATAACAAACTCAGAAGCAGCCGAAAATGCGACTATGGCCGCCATAAATCACCGACCACCAAGCATATACTGTCACTGATGTTGGGGAGTAATGGATAGCTGTTAGAAGAAGGAATAGTTCCGTAGCACCTACAGCCCACGGCGACGGAGTAAATTCCTCAGTGTCGCTCAACTTCACACAAGTAGACAGTAATTCACTAGAAAAAAGGTCAGCCTTTGATGACCAATGATGAAGCGAATACTGAATCCTGCTAAGTGAGGTGAGTACCCTAACAAAACTGTGTCGTTTGTACAATGACCACAACAGAACCTCAACCAAACTTTCTCATATGAGTTTCCCAGATCCTGCACATATAGGAGCTGAAGCCCTCTCGATATCCAAGCGGTCGGCTATTAAACAGTCGTCCAATATCGTAGTTAAACCCGATAAAATTTGTCTGCAAGAAAGGCTGGATGAAAACTGCGCATGTAAACTGCAGCCTGTTCATAGAACAACAGGTGGGAGCTATCATAGGGGAGCACTCTATAGAGTGGCATAGAGCTGAGCGCCCTTGCAGCAATGTGGGGAACTTAAAAATTAAATAGGTGAGGTAAAAAATGTCTTCAGTTCATCTTAAAGATTATAGCTCACACTGACGTCTTTGGTGCTGCACTCAGCATGAATGAAATGACACTATTCGTATGCATTATGCATCACAAAACAGGAGGCGGCATGGCGGTACAAATAACAACTACTCCAAAACCACAATACCGCTGACAATCAAAGTTGCAGAACTGCTAGAATCTTTCAGAATCTGCATTAACCCGAACGGGACCGATTGTTTGGGTGTAGGAATATGCCGTCCACCAACACAAAATCACTCACACAAGTAAGTGATAATACATTTTATGTAACTCGAATCTCGATTACACAGATAGATGTAAGCATCTATCTTTAGGACCGTTATGGCACCGTAGGCTAAATGGCAATTTAATATTTCTCTACAAAGCGATATGTGGACTCTCCTTTCTAACCTCCTCCTTGACAATCACCCACAACCCAGCCTCTACAGGTTAAATGTACATTATTCTCCCTAAAAGTCATGCTTTTTTTCTACTGCAAGTAGACAGATAGCTCAATCTTATGGATGCTGATCTACTAAGGCCGATCATACAAAGCTCAAAATTTAGCCACAAAGTCTTGTGAGTTTCTCAATGTTTTATTTGTCTTACCCTGAATTTTTTTCTTCTACAATTTTATACCCTCTCATATCTTTTGATTTGCTATTAGTCTTTACTTCTTTAAACCATTAGTTATTTTCATAGTAGTGTGATATACTGTGTGGACATCGAACCCATAAAACAAACTTTTCAACTATCTGATTTGCTTGTAACATGGACCTAGTAGAGACAGTGTATTCCAACCATGCGCCTTGATTAAAGCAGTATTCATACTTACATCACAACATGATGGAGGGTGGTGTTACTGACCAGAAAACATGATGGTGGGGAGATAAATTCAGTCCACCCATGTCTGTAGGGCAGAACAATTTGTTCAATTACGGCTCCTTATGGTTTAGTTAGATGTCACGAACTTATGGTATTGGTGCTGACTTATCACGCAAAGTACCCCTTTAAATCGTGTTACGAACATTGAATTGGTTTCACTACCTACCCAGAAATCCTATTACAAGCAAACCAGACAGTTTGCTAATATACGAAGCCTACTCAAGACTATAAAACCTAGAAAAAAATAATAATACAAAAAAAACGAAAGAGGCTCCAATAGCTTCGATAATAAAAAGAAGTTAGCCAATTGTATATCACAATACTGTTTCTGGCACTATATTTTATTTTATAACCACACATAATCACATACTCTCAGCTCATTTCCGAATCACCTTCATTTGTCAATTGTATGTCCACTCACACCTTGCTAACACATTTTTTTAGCCTATTAAAATGCTCTTTCTTAATAAAAGAAAATTAGACTGAGTAATCATACCCTAAACATTCCTTCATGAATATTGGCTACTCTGCCTTTCGTCCTTTCTTTTACTTGTTCCCTCTTTCAGCCCCCTTGTGATATGGAATGTGTGATTTCATCCTGCACCATCCTCAAAGCCTTACACATTCCAAAGGGACATAAGGTTGCAACATTTAGAAGCTCCCACCTTCAATGGACCTATCCTTGACCATCAGTTGCACGTTTGCAACGCAACTTTCATGAAGCGCGTCAACTGTGGTACTGATTAAAACCATCTACATTCATATCTTATAAATTATCAACTCAGCTAAGTAATTTACTACAATGGATATGGTATCATTTGTATCAATTTGATCTTGCCTATAAACTGGCATGTCTCTTGTAACAAACTGTTATTTGAGAAAAATTATTATTATTATTATTATTACTACCACGTTTGAGCAGATACACTTATGAGGTGGCTTCAACACTCTATCCCTTAATCTCACTACGTATTATACAAAACCAACAAGGTGGTTTCATTAATGACGTTTAATGCTCATTAGAATTTGGGGAAATATTGAACATTTTATCGATGCCACAAGATGAAGGTCGGACAGAAAACATCGAAGACCAAACTATCTACCATCAAATGACCTAATGTTAGCTGAGGAGGCCAACACCCATGCATTACAAGAGAATAATGACCTAGGAAAAATAATTTTTAACGTGGTTACTAATGAGGTAATTCAGAAGGATGCGAAGGCTCTCTGCAGTTGTTACATTAGGGCAAGCTACAAGACCATGAGGAACTATCCTTAACACAATCGGTGACCACGAAAGTAATGAAGGCTAACAGTGGATGACCACAGGGAGACAATGAGAAGTTTTATTCTAAAGGCTGTCGTGCACAACATAACTCATGGAGAAAGCACATGTGAAAAGAAAATATTTTAACTTGAGTGAGGTAAAGAAGTCCCACTACATACAAAAAGGAGAGCTTGTCGCCGATGTAAAGTTTCCTTAGAGGATTTTGACCTCAGCGCTAACTTGACATGGATAAATAGATCTAATTTCAGAGTGAAAAGCGTCAGGAGACCAAGCTAGCGGATAAAATACAAGCCAACCCAAAACATTTCTGTAAATCCATTTCCATACGGAAACCCATAAATTAGAAACATTGTACTTTTGCAAGGCCTAACGATGAAGAACTTAATAAAACGGAAATGACTGAAATCCCTAGTTCCGACTTCTTTTTTTAGTTAAACGATGAAGCTACACATGCTGAATGATCTTCAATTATAATGCCTGCAGGAAGTCTGCGAAATATCCACTTGAATGGCAATCTAGTGCAAAATGAACTGGAATTCTCGGGAAAATCACAACGTCCGCCCAATAATCATCAAACCGGACAGAATCTACCACCACAGCGGTGTTAAATCCGTTTAGGCATTCAGTAAACAGGGTGACCTTCAAAAGCATGAAAACAGGTTACGTTCTCCCCAATTTTCTTAAGAGTCAGTAGGAACGATCCAATGTGTTGGGGGGTGGGCGAAGGACTAATGGGTTGTAAAATGAGGGAATCCACATAAAAAACAACTTACCTCACGAAGCTCAACGCAGACTCAGAAGATTCATGTGCGCTCAATCTTTTCATATCATAAGACACCTGCACAACCTTCTGTAATCAAGAGAAAACGAATCGCGGAATCTGATTTGACACCACACTCACTTGTATGGAAGGTTGAGAAAACGGATTTCATTGAGCCAGCTCTATCCTAGCTCCTAAAATTTCCTCATAAATGTAAGTAGAGTGCTTCCATCATAAAGAGTTTCATTTCCAGGGGTCTCACATGAAGCCTTTTTAAGTTCACTCCTCTTCTAGATTCTAATTAATGACCATTTACACAAAGTCAGCACGATAACTTTCAGATATCATGAAGATGCCAGGTAGGTTTATAAGAAACAACAAGATTGCCTTGATCTTCAAAAGCACTTTAGAACAACAGGGAAATGAGTGGTGGATAATGGGTCCAAACGTAGCTTGTTAACATATAGTGTTATGAGCATTTGGCTCTACGAGACACAAAATACACAAGTCTTTCATAATAAACCGCTCTCAATTGTTTTATCAGGACGCGATTTAGGACTATTAACCATATGAAGCTTGAAAACTAACTCAAATTACATTGGGGATGAAGCCTAAGTGAAGACAACTTGATACAATCCCTCGGAATTGTTCCCAACATTACTTAAAAGGCACCGAAGGCCTCACATTGATGTATAAAACTTTGTTACGATCTCGCTCTTCTAAAGAGGCGTGAAACTCTCCGACAATTTGGATCATTCTGGCCGAGCTTAAAAATGATAAGAGATCACCCAATAATAATACACAACATACTAAATACGCCAATTCACCTCAAAACGAACGTTATAACAGAATATCACCATCGCGTCTTGTGAAACAGACCCAGGAAATTTGCATGACAGAGGGCGTAAGACTACCATAAGGCCTACTCTTTAATTGGGGATTACCTTCAATCCGAAATGCTGTGCCAACTGAAGAAACCATGAAGCTTATTAGTGGGTGGCCTAAAGAAAAGACTCAAAAAACACATAACCGTTCATTTTCGCCTTATTTTCGGCATTAAAACTAAATAACTTCCTGTCTCGTACTGTGATAGCTACTGGTAACAGAAAACCTCCTACCCTGAGACAGATGCTCTTGATCAGATTACGAGACATACAGATCCGAAAAAATTACTTGACTGATCACGACCAATGCAGTTGAGTTGCTTGACCACCTCCCATTGAACTTCACTAAACACCTGTAACTATACCGGAACATTAATAAGTGAGTGAACGAAATCAATCGTTTTATACAGACTTGTAGTAAACATATCTAGGAGGAATTCGTATGACCTGATTATAATATTCATATTGTATGACAACGATCTCGAATATGAAAAACTACCAGATCTTCCCCTCAGAACTTAAAACCATTCTGACAAATTAGTTACTAAATGCAAGACAAACCATCGATTTTACCGTCACTCCAACTAAGAAAAACGTCTCATCATATGTTATCAGGACCTATTTGTGAGGAATAAAAAACCTTTATAAAGTTTTGCTTTTACTAGTCAAAATTGAATGACCATCGTGGTTGCGTTTTATTAGTGTAATTGCTTTATATCAGAGGTGAGGCAAATTGATTTGTTAAGGAGATGAGGAACAGGGATTATAATAAGTAAAAAAATCTATAAATTACTTGTTAAACTTTTATCAATGATAGAGAAGAGCTCTCCTTCAAAGCGCACCACATTGCAAGCTTCATTGAAGGGGAAGAAAAGCTTACAGCCTCTAGTGTTGTACATCATATAAGCTTATTACACAGAGGAGGTCGTATTGACGAGACACCATGTAAAGTCAGACTAGATAAGAAGGGAATTTTAATTGAGTTAAATTCTTCGGAGGTAAATATATAAACCTCATACTAACATATGTTGAAGGAGGTCGTGGAATTTTTTGAATGGTCTTCCATAAGCGACCAAGCAGCAATTTTCAAACGTTCGGAAGACTTCCAATATGGATATCTTATACTTTTTCGGTGCTCACAGTATAATGCAGATCTCGAGCTTAAAGATTCTGAAGTGCACGTCTTTAGTTGCGAAACGAAAGATGATGCTAAACTACTGGTTGACTCGATATATAATCAGAAGAACTCAGCCCTGTAAGATACAGTTCAAATTGATTTTATACCATAGCGGACTCAACTCAAATGGAGACGCTTCAAGAAGTCCTGAGGTAAATTTGCGTCGCGGCAGGTCAGAAGAAGTGAGTTTATTTCCAGTAAATTTGTTTGTAAATATTTTTACATTATACAAACGAACCCATTCATTTGTAAACTGTACAGTCTCAGCCTTAAACTACACAACAGAACACGAGGAGGCCACAGAGTTACAATTTATGCTTTTTGTTTAGAGTGGCATCGAAATGTCAAAAACTACGTCAGGATCACATCCACGAAATACATCGTAAACAATTAGGGTTAGCTTCATCAAGTTATTTTTAACAGAAGTATACTGATTTTGTGTACCAGTTGATTAGTTAGAGCACGATTTCTTTTTTCACGCTAAACGAAGCCGAATGTATTTTTGTATCTGCCTCTCCCTAAATTTCTTCTCACTACCTTTGGTTTCGAAACATTAGCTTCATTCCATATATTTCAGATTATCTTAAAACGTTATTCGGGAGAAGTTCAAAATAAATTTGACATTATTTCAATCATTCGATCAATATTTACGTTTAAAAATACTGTGTTATACCCGTTTAATCATACTAGATTTTTAAATGTTTCACACTGACTTCTTTAAAGTAATCTGAATAAATAAATCTTGAAAAATTTTGAGAAAATACATTTAAATAACCATAAATGTTATACAAAATATACGTTTATTAGATATTAATAAAATAATAGCACTGCCATTTTAAAAGGAAACAAATTAGTTTCCTGAATTATTGTCAGCCATAAACAGCATGATGTCATTACAGTTATAAGCATATTTCAATACAATTGGATACTTTAAATAAAGAACCTTTACATGATTTTACAAAAAAGAACACAGAACTGACCTTTTTCACCTTGGCAACCACATTTTACTCTTACTCCTATAATACAATTGCTTGATCTTACCTTCTCGATCATCTCTATTCAGAGTTGATCTCAGTTTGTTTCCTCTTCATAATTAAATGATATTGTAACCAGTTGTTCGCATTTTTATATTTTCGTTCATTTTTAACTCATATGTTTAATGTTGTCTGTAAATTGACTTTTTTACGTGTAATATCTGATTTTGAGTTTTAGATTCTTTGGTTTTTCTAATTTGGTGTCCACTAGTTTCCTCGTTATTTTTTATCGTCGAGCTGTTTTGCTTGATTTAATTGTTTTTCTAACTCTTGCAGTTTGGCTCTGTCTATTTTTTAATGAAGAGATTTTGCACTTTGATTTTACTTTTCGTCCTCTTTTTTGTCTCTGTGTTTAAATATTAGTTAACTATTCATATATACCTGGTTTGTGAAGTGTTTTGGTAAAAATCGTATTGCTACTAAAAAGATGGCATTGACTTACGATAGTCGAATTGGCATGAGCTCCAGCTTTAAATTTATAAATAGCAAAGCGCTTGAGGCATTTCGATTACATTCTGAAATTTGGTGTCTTATGAATTTCATACTTAATGATGAGTGGTGAACTATATAGTCACTGACATGACTTGCAAATCAATACCTTTGGTTAAACGCCTTTGATCTTATCAATAAACAATAATCGTTAATAAGATATACTTTACTACCAAAAAAGGTAACATATATGAAAAACTTCGCGCTTTCTTCAGCCTTTATTTTAAGCTCCAAAAGGCTAACATTCAGTTATCGTACATTGCAATAAAGTGTTTAGCAGAAGATACTCCTCGCAACAGTAGCAATACAAATCTCGGACTTCAATATACGTCTTTTATATCCCCACCCGAAGTTTTGGATTTCAATGTTACAGTTTAAGTAGGAACCGATGTTTGAATCTCTCCATGTTTTATATTCAACAAACGGGTTGAATATTTGTATTCCGCCACTATCTTATAAACATTCTCGAGGCTGGTAGTGGCAAAAGGTATAGAATGTTCTTCCAGTCGATGCTATTAATTTGACAGATTTTTTGAATATTTGTTACTTGAGTTATGTTTGTGCAGAAAGGCTTTTGGTGAGTTGTCAAGTAATCAGATTTTAGTTAGTTTTTCGCACGAAATTTTGATAGGGTTTCTGTGACCTTTATAAAAAGCAGTTATGTAAGAAATAAACGTTTCTTTTTGGTAATTCTGTATCACTATTTGATTGATGTTATAAATTATTCTAAGAAGGTAATACCAACAAGAAGCCGAACAATAACTTTAAAAGGTTTTAATTACATATGAAAGCTGCTAACAACTTTATAGATTGGTGTTTTGTGAAAGACTGACGTTTTTACTCTTTATGATTATAAGTTTTTCTGCCATTCACAAGAACCTAAGAAGTGCTACATACGCATTCGTTCTTCTGTTTAATTATTTTAACTTTGATAACAACCCTCATGGGTGAATAATACTCTTAAAGTCATAATGTTTCGGACAAAATTATATATTCGTTGTATCTTACTCAACAAGTTTATCAAAATCGTTTTTAGCAGAAGAGTACTTTGACATCATAATAAATTAATATCAAATAAGTGACATCTAAATCATAAAATAGAAAAGAAATATTTGACCAGTTCTTTATCATTCAAAATGATCATACTTTATAGTTTTTTGTGTTATTTCATTTGACGAATATCTTAAAGCTATCCAACATCTTTTGCACATACTTATATCAGTTGTATGCACCTGATGATCCCGTAGCATTTGTCTTGTGTTTCATTTATACGAGTGCATTTTTGCTGATTACTTTTCTGATAAAAGAGGTGTTTTTTTGCTATTTCGATTATTTGCTTTCTAAAACTGATAAATTAGCAATTTTCTGCACGAAAAGTTACTGAATAAAATGGAAATTTTGCTGTATGCTCAGTATATTACTCACTAGTTATATCACGTGTGTCACCTGTATGAGCTTAAGTTTACAACATAATGAAATCATAAAATATCAATTCATACCGTATGATGAAGCAAATATCATGATTGTTTTCTGATAGGTCATGAATAAAAATGGACATTTATCTGCGAATAAGTGTCCGCTTAGAATCTCCTTTAACAACGATCTAGCATTTTTAAAAACATATAGCTATCTCCAAACTATAAAATCTTGTCGACACTATAGATCGCAATAAATCAATTTAACACCCGGTAATCATTGTATGAAGATCCTTATAAAGGTGTATCTGTCATTACCCAACTAGTTAAAAGATGGTCTATGTAAAAGAGTTGTTGACCAACGTAGGTTTACTCCAAAATCAAAACGAGCGCCCACATTTTTCTAGTCAAGAGTTTTTGATGAGTTTGGAACATCCGACACCAGACACATTTCACCTTAACCCGATTATACCGCATTTGTTCAATAAATTGTAACCTCTAACATATAGAACTTTTCGTCTTCACTTTCGCTGCTGCTTTACTTCTGTAAAAATCTAGCACTTGTTGCCATTTTATAAAGAAAATTCTTGAAGTTAGCTTCAAATCAACAAAAATCGTATCACTCCTATCAATCTACAAGAATAGTTTCCGTTGATTCAAGTATGATTCCTTTTCTAATAGTTCGGAATAGTTATAAATTGAGGATTTCAGTAGTTAACCACTTAAATCAACACACGAGCAAAGTTCACTTACTAACTTACATATTAGGGATGGGAAAACAACCTTTTTTAGGGTTATGGGAGTTAAAATCGTAACAATGTAGTTTTGTTCAATATCTTCTGAAGATTTATTAACTATTTTTCGTATTTTTCAAGGAGCCACTATTGGAACAAATCCAAATAAATCCAATCCGTATCACCTCCACTTACAAGTTTTTTGAGCTAAAACTTATTGTATAACCTAAAATATTTCCATAGACTTAAGCAGTATAACACCTCTTATGATAAAGATCATCAAACTTGGATTTTTATCGGTAACTTCGAGCATCTTTAAAAAATGTCAAATAATGTCAAAAATCCTCACTTCTGGAGCTGACTACGTAACTATATGATAGTTGGCTCGAATCGATTACTTTTCTGTTTTTGGAGTAGACTTCTACCGTCCTAACTTCTTTTGAACTTCTTCAGGATAATTAATAAGTGAAATGCTTACTTGTAAGTTTGATCTTGATCCAGAGTTTTCCAAAAGGTGGTAGCCTTATCTACAACCTAATGTGTAATGTGGGTAAAAAAGATAAGTACGGTTGAATTTCTTATAGAACTAAAAAGTCCCTTTGCTGTGGCTGCTTTTAAAACACTCTGTTTGATATATGATTCTATGATGTACATAACTTCCATCCAATAGGTTTGTATTTATTCGTACATCAAAAACATGTAAACTACTAGGTTACTCAGTGAACTCGTACATAATTCATCAATAATTACTTAAGTGGAAGATTATTTAGTTATACACACATATATTCTACCTTTTCAACAATCAATCTTATCTACAGTTTTAAACTTGATCGTCAAAATAAGTTCTCTGATTGCCATAATAAACATTCAATAATAACATGTAAATAAACGACCTATCTAATAATTATAAACAAAACTTAAGTTGAATCCGCTATGAATTCGTGATTTAAATCATGAAAATTCTACAATTTCCACAAACCTCTCTATACCGATAGTAATTCCTAATCAGTTGTACATTAGGACGATTGTTTTACACATTAACTATTCTTATCATGTATCAACTTTCTAACTCTACAATAACACACCAATTAATATATTATCGATTATAAATTAACAAGGACAATTCATTTTGTTTTATTCTATTCTCATGAAATTTCTCATCATTGCTATCACTATTGATTGTTTTATGATGTATCAGAAAAAAAATCCAGTAAGTCTCAGTGTTCTACTCTTTGAAATGAAAGGTCATAATCTTTTTTTTTTTCAATGTATACAGATTTTTCGTAATTCAATGTTCATCAAACAAATCAGTCATTAAATTTGATTGATAGTAAATTATATAAGACAACAAAACTTAAAATTACTACTGAATTATTTCAAATTAACATTTATAACTCAACTGTAAAACATTTTATACTTTATTTAATTTTCTATATGTTGAAGACTAAATATTCGTAATTTACTATTTCAGTAATACTAAGGTAAAAGTATTTCTATATTAATTTCAAGTGAAAAACCCATCAGTGTTTTTGTTATGAAAATTCAGTTCTGACGTTTTTATTTCCATAATACATTCTCGTGAAATTATTTGTAATACAAATTGTACTTGTGTATATACATTCATAGATATGTATTTACACTACATCTAGTAGTGTACGAGTTGTTTAATTTATTGTTTAATGTTTGTTTTACACTGGCAAAAACTTTAAATATTATATCAGAACTAAAGAAATAAAGTTAGCCATATAATTATAAAAACAATCTGTCTTTATGATCAGGCAAATGATTATACATATAAGTACATGACAATTATCTTAGTTTAAGTCAACCACTTCGTCCACATGATAACAATGACTGATTATTATAGTTTTCGTTAAATATCAACTCAACGAGATTAGTTTTCACTATGAATAATGCTTAATGAACAAAGCTTCGGGTATTTTATCAATAAAAATAACTGCTTTGTCCAGTATAATGAGTTTTGTATAGTATGATATCATACCCAGCAGAGGGTAGTAATCTGAAAAATAACTTGTTGGCTTTTTGAACAATGCCATCAAGTTTCTTGGGTGCTGCAGCATTTCGTTGAGTGATTTTAAGTAAAATTAAGATTCATTTACTCTTCCTTTTTACCACTAAAGATCATTTACACTCGTAATAGGATCCCAGATAAGATCAGAATCGTTATAAAAGTAATCTGTTACTCAGGATGGAATGATCAAATCAGTTCTACTTCCACAAAAATGGAGACCACGTAATCAAAATTGGTAGAGAGTAGTTTTATCGAATTGTTCCATAAACCCGAAGATAAAGTTAGTCAAAACAGTTGAGCACACCATACCAACCCGGGTACTGAAGTCATCAGTAGTATAAATGATAGGTATTCAGTTCATTAAACTCGACTATATAGTCATAAGACTGAAAATGAACTGATCAAAATATAAGTTTATAAAGACTACTGCTTTATAAACGTCCTTCTAATAACCTAAAACCGATAAGCCAATTCAGCAAGTTTCAAAACAAAAACATTTTTGTACATATCTGGGTTGCGCGTAACCTTTATGGTATTACTGTATTGAATAGATTGAAATACTTAAGGTTTAAAGGTTATGTACTAGAAAACCTCTGACCAGAGATAATACTATTGGTCTCGGGAGTTTATTCTCCACTCTGACTAAAAACAACGTTCGAAATGACATTTTGGCCATTCTTTTTATTTTCTTAATAAATATGACATGACAGTTAGAAAATAACTTAAATATTATGGATGTAAATTACTAGGCTAGTCAGAATTTGTAATTATCCACTAAATAGTTCATCGTAATGGTTATGTTTTTGAAATATGTTTTATGTGAATGTCTATGGTATATTTTCTGAATAACAATAAAATGACTACTTTTTGTTTCATCTTCTTTTCTTTAATTCTGTAAACAATGACTTACAACCAGTCATTAACGGCCTACTTAACACCAGCACATCTGATGAATAGACAATTGACAATTTTAATTCATCTTTTTATATAAACGTTTAAACTGTTTCACCAAATCAACAAATGTTAAAGTATCCCGGCTAGTCAAGAATACCTTGTATATTTAGGATATTTTTAGTTCTATCAGTATTGATTTCATATTTTTTAATTCATTTTTTACCTTCCTCATATTCGTCAAGTGAACACAATAGGCTGTATCTTATCATTTTTTATTAAACTTCTTCATTGGTACACAGCCCTACTGTGATATTTGACCTATAAATAGGACTGTGCATCTTGAGTAAATAATATCATCGGAAAGTAAAACATTTCCTACACTGAATCATCTTTAATTTTTCTTCATTGACATAATGAGTTTATTTCATTATTTAAAAATATTTCGATGTATTTAGCATTTAACAGTTTTCACCAATAAAATCCCTTTTTGATTACTTGTGCATAGCAAAAAATTATTTTTTTTCTCTTTGTTAAAGAAAATAGACTCTACAGGATATGATGGTGGAAGAAACTTTTATATGCTTAACCAATGTATAGACGATATAGAATGCTTTGAAAATCGTCTAGAGAAAGCGATCAAACGAAAGTCGTCTTACAACAGAAATAGTTCAGGTTAGTTTATTTGTCATTTTTTAGTTTATACAGGGCGTATATCTAATCATCCCAGTAATAGATAGAGTCCATTCTGTTTGTTCGAGTAAATCTTTTTTAAGCTCACTTAATACGGCGAATCTGGGATTGATACTTTAGTTTGTTCCTTCATTTTATTTCAAATAAACACAAATGATAGTCATCATTAAAATGATACAGTTTATTGTTAAATTCGTAAAACTGAAATTTATTTTGATTGCAGTTTCATAATTTTGAGCATTACAAGAAGAAAAGGAATCCGTTTTTTTCATGACTATTCATCAAATTCTAAACATATCAAGATTAATGTAGTAACTAGGATTTGAACTTCAGTAAGTGATTTATTTGAATAATTTGTAGGAAATTAAGGTTACTTACTTACTTACTTACGCCTGTTACTCCTCGTGAAGGAGCATAGGCCGCTCACCAGCATTCTCCATCCAACCCTGTCCTGGGCAATCCTTTCTAGCTCCGTCCAGTTGTAATTCATCGTTTTCATATCTACTTCTATTAAATTAAGGTTACGACGTAATAGAAAACAATGAAATTCACGACGCTTTTATAAATTTATCAATAGCTGGGTTTTTTCGTTCAGTGACTTAACAATACAGATCTATTATCTACGGAGTTTTCTTAAGTTAGATTATTTTGATTTGTATATACTTACCATCGTTCTACACTTGTGATGGTTGCCCACCCACTAAAACACTATAGATAATAGTCGTCTTTTTTAACATTATCAGTTGAACTACATCAGTGTAAACAATTTATGAAATATTGTTCAGGCTACTGAAAAATGTAAAACACTGGTGAATTAATGATCGTATTTAATGAAATTCTTAGTACTGACAAAAAAGTATGCCTTTTGATGTCTTCCAAAAACTGTTCGTCGCTGTTAAAGTTTCTAAAAAACATAGAACTGTTTTAAGTCGTTTTGTTCATTAACGATAGTTGGAATTCTTTAACCATGACGTCATATTTATCTTATTATACTTTTTATCATTTACTAATTTCAATTACATCCTAGTTTCCTTCTTACTTTCTAACTGGAGTTAATCCTTCTGTTTTAATATCGCCCCTAGAATACACTTTAAATCATATTAAAATCTTATATATAACGTTTAATTAGGTGTGAAATCGAAATGAAATTCTCCCCATAATGATTCTATTAGCATATTTTCTTCAATGTTCTAGCTCTATTCTTCCCTTTTGTTATAATCTCTTTTTCTTACGGTTATGACCCAGCTATTCCTATTACTTAGTATTCTCGGACACCGATTCACTCGACAAGTCCCCAAATCAGAACACGGTTGAACAGGAAAGAGATTGTATTCCCAATAACAAGGTTAGATGGAAGTAAGAAGCACAATAGGGAAAACGTTAGTACATTTATAGTTTTTGCATGAGAAGATTCTCCAACTATCGACTAGTGGTTATTGGATAAGAACTAGCCAATCAGCGTGCAGCAAAGCAATCGTGCATTGAGCATCTAGTCTATGTCCCGCTAACACCTTTCCATGATCAAGTATATGGCTCATCAAAAGTTGAACTAATTACAGTACCGTTCTGGAGATTCTATCCCGTTCATCACCCATTCGGCTGCTAATATACCAGTTAAGTTATTTCTCACCCTGGTTCTTTTTAATTCATAGGAGACAAGAGCAGAAATTTGATTTCAAATATTTTTGTGTCTTTCTAAACTGTTTATTTTCAAATTACTATCAGACAAATTTTTTTCACAAGATATTAACCATAGCGTTACCTGAATCAAACTCCTATGGTCATAAGTGTTTGATCCAATTGACTCTCAAGAAAAGGGCGAAGTAAGCTGCTGATTATGACCTACCAGATGTACACAATACTCTAAAAGCCTTAATTAGATGCTGTACCCTTCGCTTGCAAATACTAGATACTTAGAACAAATAAAATCTATCATGAGATATCTTAAGATTGTTTCTGTTACGATATATCGTTGTTAAAAATATACCACTAAATATTCTTCCTAAACTTTTATTATATTATGACCATAAAAACGAAAGTGTGTTCAGATTATAAAGACATCTTTGTAAAATCATCGCTGGATTTATATTAAAAGGATTGGGAAAAACTCTTATTTTTATCTATATACACGGTTAAATCCATAAATATTATGTAAGCTTCAGTACAGCAAAATACAAATGTACATACTGATACTATCAATATAACATGACATTCATAACTTTGTATTTTTTTTGTTACCGCTTTAACTATAAATCATTCAGGAACTTTGAACATCTTCAGGTTCATCATTAAGCTAGATGGGATCATATGTACTACATCGGACAATAAATTCCACTAACTATGTTAATTAAATAAAACATACATCAATTAAAATTGGCTATTGTTTATCATGGATATTTATGCCTTACTGAAAGATTATCTGAATGATTAATAATAATAATCAAAAATGACAAATTCCTCTTACGAAACTTATTTATTAATCTACTAATATAAATTGATTTGTTAGTAGATTGTATGAAACACTATGATACATTCTTAAGTGTAACTAGTTAACAAAACAAAAAAAAAATAATTCACTTTGAAATAAAACTACAAATATTCACGCTAATTTTTATTGTTTCCCTAATGATTTACATTCTATTTAACTATTAATGAATTGTTAAAAATTAATAATAATAAAAGTCACATGGTTTAAACTATTTTATTGCATAAAAGTATCTGATCAGATAAATAATAACAGTCAATATAACAGTCGATGCATTAAAACCATTTTATTCATTTAAATAATAATATGACTAATTATATAAGAAGTTGAAAATGAAATTTGACAATCAGTGCTAGAAACACAATAATGATTTTAATAAGTAACTTATTAGCAACTACTTAATGTTTTATCTTTTTATACTAATGAACATCTTTTTTTTCTATCATAGTAATAAAATTTAATTTGTTAAAATGTAATAGTGCTTTGTCAACAGTTGTTTTAATCATTCTATTACTTTTAATACAGTTATCAAAAGATAAGAATATTTTGCTCTTTCAAATAAATACTTCCGTTTCTTATTCAAAAATTTCATTTCAAATAACCACTATTATTTTATAAAAGTCAACTGAACGTTACAGTAGTTTTAATACTGATGAAAAACTTATTCCAACTTGTAAACAAACAGCTTAGATATCTTGTTTGACAGCCTTAGATTGTTTTATAAATTATTATTATTGGGTAAATTTTGTATAAAATACAGCTAGTGATGTCAGTTACACATAACCGGAAATATATGTACATTAATATAACATTAATATATCTATATTACATTTTCATGCAGTTATATATCTAGGATTTTTAAGATTTTCTGAATCAGGTAGGGAACAAGAGTTTCAAGAAAGTATGAAGATAATTTTATAGCTAAAAGATTCTATGGCTCGAATTTTCTTCAAAATATGATGATAAAATGTCACAGTCGATTTTCAATGTAATGGTCGTGTAGTCTTTGACAGAACAGATTATTTAACAATATATTGTGCTTTCTCTATAAAGTTGTAGTCTAACTGTTTTATATAACAAGTTTAAGTATATTTATGTGTTGTTTTTATCTTTATCTAATCCGTCCTAACGATATTTTTCATTGATTTCGTGATATTTTTGTCATATCTAATCCCATTTTACTGAGTAATTAATGTGGTCACAATGAAAACAGCTAGTGGTTATCTTATTTGTAAATATTTCCACGTCATCATAATAATGTTTAATTAGTAATATAATCTAAACTATACATGTAGTCAGTAGCTTTGCTTTTTTAGATAAATATTTCTTAGCGGCCTATCAATTCGATGGGCATCAAACTGAAAGAGAAGAACGAATATTGCGTTTTTCATATTCTTGCTATTCATAAAACATACTCGATCTAAGGTATTACCATCGGTTGTAGGACTCAGTTTACCCCAACCATCTTATCTAAACGAAAATTATTAGGTGAGCTGTTTTGTGTAATTCATCAAACAAAATATTCACTATTTTGACTAGATTTTAAATTTTAATATTAGATTTGTTATTTCTCTACATCGTCACGTTATAAATAATTAGAGTGATTCTGTTTATCTGACAATTTACTACAAATTATAACTGTAGAACACTTAAGTCTATATTTCCAAAGCCGGTCATTTCACAATATAATACTTCCTTATTCCAATATTCACTATATTTCTCTTTACAATGTTGAACTCTACTGATCTTAGAGCTGATTAATGTCACTGTCATAACTGTCCACTGATGAGGAGTGCCAAACTGCAGTAAAACAAATGAAAATTGTTACTTGATTTTTCAGTCGCCTACATGCTGATATTACTCTAACATTAAGTCAAATCGTTTTTCCAAAAACCTCTATATTAACGAAGATTGTTTTGTTTTACTTTTAACTGTTGTTACAGTTGCATAGTAGTCAGTAAAATAGTAGTCTGTACAATTTTGACCCTTGTTGTTTGTCATTCAAGTGATATGTTTATTAAATGTAATTTAGTATTTTACTATTTAAACTTATCTCTTACATTTTGTCATAATTATAAATAAAATTCAATACCTTCAACGATTATGACAAATATGAATATAAATAATGGTGGTTGAAAACAATTAGTCCCTTTGATAAATTTCTATCATGCAATGAGAAAACGAAGTTTATCAGAATTATGTGATATATTTGCGCAATACATTTCGAACAATCTGATCACGCATATATTTGTTAAGAACATTTATATATGAAAAATTAAAAGGTCAACTAGACAGGTTAAAGGTAAGTCATAACAAAGAAAAGAAAATAATAATATTAAAGTGCACAAAACAAATGTGATCACCACATTGGATAATAAATCAGTATTACCAGGGTAGGTTAAGTGTAAGGACAAATTGTTTTTGATCACATAAAGGGAGTTTCAATTTCCGTATAACCAAAACTTCAATAAACCTCAGTATACATCCTTGAAGGCTT